ATGCGGTTGGCGCAGGATAGAGCAGGGTTTAGGGCTGTTGTGCATAGGGTCGCTATGAGTCGCAAACGACTCGACGGCACATAACAACAACAACAACATGTACAATAGCTCTGAACCCGGCCCTATTCTTAGCCAACCTCACTGTCTCTGACACCAACTCCCTTACTGTGTCAATCCATGTCATCCACAGTCTTCCTCCCCTGAGCTGTCCCCCAACTGTACCGAACATAATGTCCCTCTCAAAGGACTGGTCCCTGCTGGCAACATGCCTAAAGCATGTGAGACAGTTTCAAAATCTTTGCCTCGAAGGGGCAGGTTGGTTTCACCCTCTCCAGGACAGATTTGTTTATTCTTTTGGCAGTCCACGGTATGTTAAATACTCTTCTCTACCACAAGGGACCTCTTCAGAGTGCTGAAGAGCAACAATGTGAGTCTAGAGACTAAGGTGTGCCTGATCCGAGCCATAGTCCTCACAATTACTTGCTATGCATCAGACAGCTGGATAATGATGTATCTTAATAAATAATTTTTATGTGTTCATTAATGTTCACTCATCTGTAAAACTTTCTTTAGCTTTTTTATAATAGCAGTCTTATACAATATTTATCTCTTGAGACTAACTTGAGTCACTCAGCAAGATGTCCTCTAAGTTTATCATGTTATGCATGGTTAGAAATTTTTTTACTGTTATTTAGAGTTGCACAGCACTCCATTGTGTGAAAGTAGGATAGTTTTTTAAACCACTTGTCTGTTGAAGGACATCTGAGTTGTTTCCATTTTTTTACTATTGTAAATAAAGCTGCTTGAAACATGGGTGTGCTTATGTCTGTTCATGTTGCAGCTCTTATTTCTTTGGGTTATATACCTAGTAGTGGGCATACTGGATCAAATGGCTTCAATTTTCACCTTCTTGACTGCTTTCCATAGCAGTTACACCATTTTACATTCCTGTTAGCAGTTCCAATCTCTTCATACCCTTGCTAAAATTTGTTAGTGTCTTATTGAACTTTTCTTTATTGCTGACTTTGTGTGGTATCTTCCAAAAAGTAAATAGAAAACAGCTGCAAACATCCATTCATAATTGGAACACAGAATGTATCACGTATAAACCTCGAAAAATTGCAAGGTGTCAAAACTTAAATGAAACAGCCATTCTAGAAATTAGTAGCTGAGACAGGCTGGTATTGGGCATTTTAAATCAGACAGTTACATGATCTATTATACCAGGAGTGACAAACTGAAGAGGAATGGTATAATATTCAACATCAAAAAAAATATTTTAAAATAGGATGCTATCCATGCACAAAAAGAAAGACCTGTCAATCCAATGATTATTCAAATAAACACACCAACTGCTAATGTTAAAGATGATGAAATTGAGGACTTCTGCCAACTTTTACAGTCTGAAATGGATTGAATATGCAATCAAGATGCAATAATTGGTGACTGGAATGCAAGAACTCGAAACAAAGAAAGACCAGTAGTAGGAAAATATGACCTTGATGAGACTGAAGATCACATGATAGAATTTTATTCAGTGAATGACTTCTTCATTGTAAGTACTTTAAAAAAACCAAAACCAAAAAACAAACAAACAAAAAAACCACATCACACAATATAAATGGTACTGATGTACATCACAGGACTCAAGTTGACTACATCTGTGCAGAGAGTTGATAGAGAAGTTTGATCTTAGCAGTCAAAACAAGGTCAGGTGCTGACCGTAGAAAAGGCTATTAATTATTACTATGCAACTTCAAAGTGAAGCTGAACAGAAGAAAAACAAGTACATGAGAAATGACATATTACCTTGAGTCTATCCCAACTGAATTGAAAAACCACCTCAAGGTCTGCTGTACAACCACGAGAGGATATCATCGATGAATGTGACCTTCTAAAAATAAAGTTGTTGTGTGCATCAAAAACTCTTTGCAATAGGATGAAAAGAAAGCCTACAGACTGGGGGAAAATGTTTGACAAATGATATCTCAGATAAGGGTCTTTTCATGAAAGTTTGCAGAATACTACCCGGCTTCCATAAGGAAAAGACTAGTAACTCAGTAACAAAATGAGCAAAAGAGAGGAAAAGACTTTTCACAAAGGAAGACATTAACATGGCCAACAGACAAGTGAAGAAATACTTAAAACTTACTGGCAATCAGAGAGATGCAAATAAAAAACACAATAAAATACTGTCTCACCCTGGTAACAAAATTTAACAGTACAGCAAACAATAAATGTTGGAGAGGGTTTGGAAAGACTGGAACTTTCATGCATTGCTGGTCAGAGTGTAAAATGGAACAAACACTCTGGAGGCAGTTTGGCATTTCTTCAAATAGCTGAACATATAGCTCAATATGTTGTGATCCACATTGTCAAATATCGTTGCATAGTCAATAAAATATAAATAGACAACCTTCTGGTACTCTATGCTTTCAGCCAAGACCCAGCTGACATTGGCAATGATATCCCTAGCACCATGGCCTCTTCTAAACCCAGCTTGTGTTTCTAGAAGTGTTCTAGTAGTTTTTGGATAATCTTCAGCAAGATTTTTGTTGATTGATATTTGCATGTGGAATTAGTGCTATTGTTCCAAGATTTCCACATTCTGAAGGATAAATAGTAGAATGTGCTTGAAAGTCCAAAGTGGGAAGAAGAGGAAGGTGAACTGTGGAGGGAGGAAATTACTGAGATGGCAGAGTTTGGTGGGCTGAGGTATGGGTTGAAGAATTTAGGAAAGTTAAGGAGTGTCTGAAAAAACAAGGTAATAGCACAAAGATCATGGTGATTAATTTTCTAAAACACAATGAATTCATAAGAATGATCACATGAAACACAACTTGAATGAAGGAATATGTTAAACTGAGTGTACATGAATGAATCGATCTATCTCTGCCTGTAAGAGTTGGTAGAAATCCGCGCCGCCACCGCCTCTGCTGCCGCCGCGCCTCGGCTTGAGGGCCGGAGGCTGGGGGAGGGTAGCGGAGCCGGCGCTGCCGCCATGTTGGGTCTGAGGCGGCTGCTGTAGGCGCGAAGAGAGCGAGCAGGCGGCGTCGTGGTACCGGCCTCTCTGCAAGCAGCCCCGAGCGGCGGTGGAGCCATGAGCGGGGGAACCCCTTACATCAGCAGCAAGATCAGCCTCATTTCCAAGGCAGAGATCCGCTACGAGGGCATCCTGTACACCATCGATACCGAGAACTCCACCGTAGCCCTCGCCAAAGTTCGGTCCTTTGGTACAAAAGACAGACCAACAGATCGACCGATACCACCTCGAGATGAAGTCTTTGAATACATTATATTACGAGGAAGTGATATTAAAGATGTCACTGTTTGTGAGCCACCAAAACCACAATGTTCTTTGCCTCAGGACCCAGCCATTGTTCAGTCTTCACTAGGTTCCTCTACTTCTTCATTCCAATCGGTGGGTTCATATGGACCTTTTGGCAGGATGCCGACATACAGTCAGTTCAGTCCAAGTTCCATAGTTGGACAGCAATTTGGTGCTGTAGGTGTTGCTGGAAACTCTTTGACATCTTTTGGAGCAGAAGCATCTTCAAACAGTGGTACCTTATCCCAAAGTAATGCCGTTGGGTCTGCCTTCACACAGGGTTCGAGATCTCTAAAACCTCAGTTATCACAAGGTCGTTCAAGCCCTCAGTTAGACCCTTTGAGGAAAAGCCCAACCATGGAACAAGCAGTACAGACCGCCTCAGCCCACTTACCTGCTCCAGCACCTGTTGGGAGAAGGAGCCCTGTATCAACCAGGCCTTTGCCATCTACCAGCCAAAAAGCAATAGAGAATCAAGAGCACAGGCGAGTTGAAGTGCATAAAGTTCCAAGGCTAGAAAATGAGCAACTTAGAAATGAAAGCAAGAAACAAGTAGTTCCAGGAGCTCCTTCAGCTCCAAGGAGAGGCCGTGGGGGTCATCGAGGTGGCAGGGGAAGATCTGGTATTCGGAGAGATGGGCCAATGAAATTTGAGAAAGCCTTTGACTTTGAAAGTGCAAATGCAAAAAAAAAAAAGAAAAGAAAGTGCAAATGCACAATTTAACAAAGAAGAAATTGACAGAGAGTTCCATAATAAACTTAAATTAAAAGAAGATAAACTTGAGAAGCAGGAGAAACCTGTGAACAGTGAAGACAAAGGAGACTCAGGAGTGGATACCCAAAACAGTGAAGGAAATGCTGATGAGGAAGATCCACTTGGACCTAATTGCTATTATGACAAAACGAAATCCTTCTTTGATAATATTTCATGTGATGATAACAAAGAACGGAGACCAACATGGGCTGAAGAAAGATTAAATGATGAGACGTTTGGAATCCCACTACGTCCAAACCGTGGCCGTGGCGGCTACCGGGGCCGAGGAGGTCTTGGCTTTCGTGGAGGCAGAGGGCGTGGAATTGGCAGGGATGGCACCTTCGCCAGCCCTCGAGGGTTTCGTGGTGGATTCAGAGGAGGTCGTGGGGGCCGAGAGTTTGCAGATTTTGAATATAGGAAAACCACAGCTTTTGGGCCCTAAAAGGTCTGGATCGATCATACTGCTTTCTGAAACAAATACAACAAAGTTGCTGCATAGTCTACAAACAAATCTGAAAATGAAAATTCTAGCTGTTCATACTCCTGAAAATTGGTTTCAGTCTTTTGAAGAATGAAGAAGTGAATTCGCTGTATATTTGTCACCAGCACTGGGTTTTGTTTTGTGTTTTGTTTTCTTGCTTAATTTCAAAGATACAGTGAAACCTATGAGAGCCAGAACCTAATGGGACTACCTTGTTTTGGGGTCTCACAGGTTTTCTACCTTTGACAGGGTACAGTCTTAATATGTTTCTGTTGCTCTCTTTAGTGGAAAATATTTTGTTTTTCTTTTCTGACAGGTTTCTGCCTTACACAGGTTCCATCTTTTTCAGGATTTACTATATTGGGGAAGGGGAAAGAAGGTTCATTTTTGAAAATGA